TATAGATGACATTAACATTATGTACCAGTTCCAACTTTATAATTTTACACCTTCTACAGAGTATATACATGGTCACCATTGTTATCCATAATTGTTTTTTAGACAGGTGTGTGCTGGAAAAACCTTTAAAAAGATTCCTTAAATGGTCTGGTCTTGTTTTCATTATCTAAAACTAAAACATTCTAGTTTTAGTAACATTCTGAACAATCCAGAGTGAAACTTTTGTCACACTGAACAGTTGTTCTCTTATCTGTGTTTGTACCTTTCTTCACTTCAGCATCCTTATTTCCTGAGGCCATGGGTGGACTTCTGCACTCAGTGTCTGTGGGCAGCGCTTCATTTGTACTGGACTCTGGATCAGGGATTTCCTCCAACCCACCAGACTCTTTCACATTTTCCCTTCCACTCTTCTGATCTGTGCTGGTGTCTTCCTCACTTTCTTTGTTTGAGGAGTTCTGGGTGGATGTTCTCTCAGCAGCAGGAGAAATGCTCTCAACAGGTGGAGCCTTCGTCACAGAATTTTCATTTTCGTGCTCTTCTGGATCTGACACACACACAAAAAAAAGACAAGCATTGTTATCTGCCAAATACGAACATTTCACTTAAAAACAATTTTTTCTTTTATCTTGTTATTGTACATAATTTGTGCACTGTATTTGTTTTGTAACACTGTGAGAATCAATAACAGAATGGTTAAGGAATCAAAGTGATCAGTGGCATCTTTTTTAATTCCTTTTGACTCGGACCTGTTTGTTTAGGTGATGATGTCTCTGTGTCTTTTCTCATTTCAACCATTCAGGTTTCTTGCCTAAATATAAAAATAAAGTCAGAGAAGATGGAAGTCACAGTGTTCAGTGTCGATCACTGTTGAACAGCAGTTCAATTTGTTTAATAATAATTATAATTTGAACAAGTCATTCACATTTTAAATCAACCTTTGGATTTCTCACAGTGATTATTCATTCACAGTTGTTTCTCTCACACAAATTTGTTCATTTCAATATGATAATTTGGTGAAAAAGTCTGACGAGGCTGTGATTTTTTATTTATTTATTTTAAATCCTTAAATAAATCCCTGACTGGTGGGAATGTTGTAATCACTTAGTAAAAGGACAGATTTGAACAGAGCATTTTTGGGTCACTGGAATCAGTTCTGACAGCACTGCTGTGATTAGGCCGGCGTCGAAACTAAAGAAAAATCACCTGTGGATTGTTTTTCAATCTCTGAAACACGTCGTTTGACATGACCTGCAAAAAACCAACACAAGTAAAATGTATTTCCAGCACCTTACAGTACTAATACTGTAACTCACCAAGGATAAAACAAGCTGTCTTTGTCATGGTCTGTTATATTATAATAAGATATATTATAGCTGTCAAAATAAATACATTAATCACATGAATTTAATTGAAAATGTAATCAGATTAAAATCTTGAACACGAATCTTAAATTACAATCTCAACGCTCGGCATGTGTTGGTCCTGTCTTGAAAGGACTGAGGATTGTATAGATGACATTAACATTATGTACCAGTTCCAACTTTATAATTTTACACCTTCTACAGAGTATATACATGGTCACCATTGTTATCCATAATTGTCTTTTAGACAGGTGTGCGCTGGAAAAACCTCATCAGATTGAGGTTGACAAGACTTTAAGGCAATTCCAGAAATTTGACTGGACTGACCTTCTTCAGTGTGACTTTTCTCTCCGCTAGTCACATTTGGCAGATCGGGACTGTAAAACTGTCCCAGTGGTGAAGGAGGCCATTTAGGTTTCTTGCCTAAATATAAAAACAGCAGTTGAACAGCAGTTCAATTTGTTTAATAATAGCTATAATTTGAACAAGTCATTCATTCATTCATTTCTCACAGTGATTATTCATTCACAGTTGTTTCTCTCACACAAATTTGTTCATTTGTCCAAAAGATTTAAATTTGATAATTTGGTGAAAAAGTCTGACAAGGCTGTATTTTTTTTTTTTTCCGGTGAGAATGTTTTAATCACTTAGTAAAAGGACAGATTTGAGTAGAGCATTTTTGGGTCACTGGAATCAGTTCAGACGGCACTGCTGTGATTAGGCCGGCGTCGGAACTAAAGAAAAAGTTGTTTGACACGAACTGCAAAAATCCAACAGAAGTAAAATGTATTTCCAACACTGTACAGTATTAATACTGCACCTTACAAGCAATATCTACAGAGAATGGCTTATATTTGAATTAGGGATTTCTCAATACAACTTTTTCCAATTTCGTGCATAGTTAACACAGCCAGCTGAGGAAATAGTGAGCGCAGCTTTTATAGTGTTTTAATTGAAAACACTGTCTCTTGCTTTTCAGTAAACTTCCACCCACATAATTTATGCTGCCCATAACTAGATGTCAATAGAACATAATCTCACACCCCTCTGCATTTTTGGCCCTTCAGTGAGATGGCAGTGGTAACAGTGGTCCCCAGCTTATTTGCGTCTGAGACCCCTAGTTATTAAACTGAGTAGAGACATTAGTGCAATCACCGCTAAGACATTGTCAGGTGTTTAATTAAAATGCTTATGTATAAATAAACTACACATGAGGACAAATGGACACTGAACTGCAGTAGAAAAACACAATAAAAACAAAAGTAATAAAAGACGTAACAGACAAAGAAACAATATATACTGTTGTACACCCTATTTTAGGCTTATCGTAAATAATGGCTCTGTGTAGAGTCTGTAATCTGGACCAGGTTTTACAATAGTCTCAGTATAAAGACATAACAGCAGCAGTAAAAGTCTGTGATAAACCTGCTCACAGCTTTGAAAAGGTCATAAAAACCCAGAAACCAGAGAAGAAGTTAAAGCAGTCTTTACCCCCACTGTCCCCAACTGTCAGGAGCTTCAAATTCTCTTCGTGAAATATTTTCTTCTTCTTATCTGTGAATTAAGAAAATATTTAACGTTGTCAAAAAGCTGAATGCCAATACACATTAACCGTAAATTATTTAATGAAGTCAGATTAAGATACAAATTGAAAGGTTCAATAATTGACAGCTAAATAATTCATAAAATGTTTGACCTTGTTCTTTGCCTCTCGGAGTCTGTTTCTCCACATCACCTTTGCTTGTTTTTGCAAAACAACCTTGAGTGAAAAAGACAAAGGGGCTTATTTTTTTAGCATGTTAAATATACAAGAGTTATGGGCATCAAAAAAGTTTTAATTGATTAATTATAGGGGAGATGTATATTAATCACAAACAATCATGATATATGGTGATCTAATTATTCATAATTAATCAAGTTATCATTATTAATGAAGTTACAGTTTTAAATATGACAAAAAATGTTTTTGTGTATGATTCTGGAAGAGAAAGTCAAATATCAGCTGGCAAATGTATGTCTTTTACAACTTTTTTTATTATTATTTGTGTCTAATCCAAATAATGGAATTAATAGTATTTATAATGTCATGAAAAATATGGAAGTGCAAGCCTCAACCAAAACATGTCAGTTTAATCTGATTAATTAAAAAATGTTTTTTTGAATGTGTCAACTTTGATCGTCCTCACATGAATAGCTCTAATACAAACCTGAAGGTCTGTTTGATCCTTTGACTCATATAAGCTCTTATACGTTTTTGTCACTGTGTTTAGTCAATCACAAACCCCACATAAAGTCAGAAAAACAATCTAGATTTTTATTTTACCCTTTCTTGCCCTCTTGCAGAAGAGTATGCCCAAAACGACTGACAGAATAATAAGGACGACGACCACAATGCCGACAACCAGCCCTACAGATAAACCTCCATCTACAGAAACAGAAAAAAAAAGTTAAAACAGGACATGGTTAAACTGTAGAACAATACTAACAGGAAGTAGAAAACCTTTTTCTGTCATCGTTGGCATTGTACGTGGGCGGGGATTGCTTAAATAAATTGTTAAAAATGAAAAACACTCGATGGATAGATTCTAAGCATGAATCAATTTTGCACACTTGAAGCTACGGTTAAATCAATGGACTTCTTTTGGCAACAGCGATTAAATATATAATCAGAAATTAAATTATAGAGAATCTGATTTTTAGAATGACGTCTTACCAGAGTAGCAGCTCCTGGCAGTAAAAGTTTCCACCTCATTACTCAGAGGGTTATTCACCCGGCAAGTGTGTATCTGATTGTCATGTTCATCTCCCAGTGGGATTGTTAATTTTTGGCCCGGTACCACATTTCCACCCGACTGCCACTCATACTTCACTAAGGACTCCGAGCGTGTGGACTCTGCAGAGCAGGTCAGCGTGGCCTCGGGTCCACTTTCATCAGAGTCGCCTTTTCTTACAGTGCAGGTTATGGTGGGTTTGGAAACCTTACCTAGAGTACAGTATAAAAATATTTAACTACAAATCAAAACAAAAACTATGTTGCCAAATAACCAGTAAAATTAATTTCTGAACTCTAACATAAAACAAAAAGAACAAAATTATAGTCTTTGAGTTACTGACCAAAGTCATTAAAACACTTAAGATCTTTTAGTCATTTCAGTTAGTTACATGAGCTTGACTACTCTGGCTTCTGTCTTGTTTATACTCTAGCCATCTGTACTGCAGTGCAGTACTTCTAGCCTAATTTCATTACACGCTAATTCTGCGTTTTGCAATGACAATAAAGTTAAATAGTTCTATTCTATGCTGCTTCACATAAAACTAAGGCTTGAAATACGCTGCCTGGCTCAATGGTTAGCATGTGGAAATGTCAGATTCCATTACCTTCTCCTAATCAAAGCCATAAGCTGATGAACTGGAGGACTGCATCATTGTCTGTAGATCCAACTGAACTCAATGTCACCATAGTAACTACATGAACTCTAAGCTACAGGACTCAAAAACATAATTAAATATAGATTTTTACCTATGACTTGTAATCTATAAAAGAACTGATACACCATGTTGCTGTTGCTGGCATCCAATTCATACACCCCAGTGTCTTCATATCGGACGTGTGTGATATTGAGTTCTGCAGTGATCCAGTCCAGAGTGGCTCTGTGTTGATGTTGGCCGTACACATGCTCCTCCTTGCCGTTGAACTCCACCAGTTTTTTGCCATTGTGTTTCCACAGAATCTTATCAGGTTGTTCCGACATTATTGGCTTCAGGTGAAACGTCTGCCCGATGAGGAAATATGATGGTGTCTGTCCAAAAACTGTCAACACAGGGGGCAATATGGAAAGGGAAAATAAGAAATGTAGTATATTTCAAAATATACTTTTTTCTTAAATGTCAATTGAGCAGATTCAGTTTTTTTAATTTAAGTACTTTTTTATGTACTTTTAGTGTGTTGAAGTGTGATATTTCACGTGTTATTTTTTTATTTTTTAAAAAGAGAACACTATGTTGAATTATTGTCTGTAACTGCATGAGAGAGAAAAAATCCACCGTACTGCGTTGCCTGTGGCCCACGGCACCTACTATCAATAAAACAGTCACAGCACTGTGAGAGTGGCTTAAATTACTGGCCAGGGGTCAGCAGAGACAGATGAAGGACACCATTCACGTCCAACACCAGAAACCACTCTGACACAGACAGGAGCTGAAATCCCCCGTCTTTTACAGACCACCTGAACATACAGCACTCAGGTGTCGTGACGACAGCCGAGACAACTTCACTTCACATCAAAGTTTTACACAGAGTAAAAGTATTTCTATTATAGCTGAAGAACAGCACTCTACTATAAGAAAAGGTGGGATAAGACTCAGACCTCAAACACATTTCACATTCTGTATCTTCACAGCAACACCAAAGAGTTGTAACAACTTATATTTTCTAAATTAAGAAGAATGAAGGATTTTTTTTTTTGTTTAAAAACTTATTAGTTGGTGTAAGAATAATTCAGGTCGGGGGTGAACTTTGTACACCAAGATGTAAATAATTAACCTGCAAGTCTGCTGTAATAAGTCTAGTCTAACTTTCGTTATCCCTTCCATATACATACAATTAAACCCCCAAGTAATAAAACATTTATATTTATAAGTTATAAATATATTTATAAGTTTTTAAAACATTACCTTGTAGGCTGCAGGTAAGGACACACCAGCAGGTCAGGAAGTAACGAGCCATTTCAAAATACCTCAAATCTTACAGGTATGTAAACGTCATGCAACTCTTACTGTAACTTTTCCGGGCGATGTGAGTTGTCATTGTATAAATACCAAGTAGGATCCTCGTGGAAGTTTGGGTTAAATATATGTAAATAACTTCAAAGAAAGGATTTTCGCAGGAACTGCGCAGGTAAACCGCAGGTGCCACCTGCACAGATTACTTCATTGTACCGCCGGTGTAGCACTCCAGCTTCCGGTCTCTTTTCCATCAACATAAATAATTTTCCGGACATATTTCTTCCACACTACAACGCACATATAACCGACTCACGTGGCTTCTAAATATGCAGATATTGCGTAAAGAAAGACGAATATTAAACCACATAGCCATTGGGGCACTTTTAATTTGAATTTCTTTTCTAATATTATTTAATTGTTTTAATTTGAAAATACCACGGAAGTGCTACAGAGGCTTGTTGGGAGGATCACTGCACGTAGTATGAGTCAAGCTCCGAGTTTCATTTTTCATTTCAATTTTTTGAATATTCTGATGGCATATTATTATGGTAATTTTTATGAAACCCCTTCTCCCTGGAACGATATAATGTATATTTTAAATGTTTAACAATTACGTAAATATGGAAAATTTAGAATTTTGCTCAAATAAACCATACGATCTTATTTGAGTAGTCGTATTTATTTGTTATGAAATTGTTTACCTTTCCTTACTTCAAAAAAATATTAAATATAAATATTTGAAAGGTTCTGGGCATAACCTGTGGAAAATAGGACCAGTAGGTGGCAGTAATACAACACAAAAAATTAGAGCTGCTACTGTAACTCAAAGTGGGTGGGATATGATTCCAGCCAAAAGAAGAAATATTTTTAAATGAATGCATCTTTTAAACACAGTATCATCATTCTTTATTCTAATTATTCTAATGTTTATTTACATTAAGAGTTTCTCCTTATGTCATCAGACATCTGTCACTGACTCTCCTCAGGTGTTATTTTTTGTATGTGTGTGTAAGATTTCATCAGTGTCACACTGCCATGGTGTGACACCCCCATAGGTAAAACACACTCCTCCGTCAGCTGCTCTCGCTCAACATCCCAGCACATCACTGTAGAGATCACTTGGTTGTTGTTGTCTCGGCCTCCGGTGATGAACAGTTTGTTGTTACAGGCAGCGATGGCACAGCTTGCCCTCTCACCTAGACGAGTCACGAGCGTCCAAGAGTCGGAAAGAGGGGAGTAGCGGTACATGGCATGCATTGCACCACCTTAAAACACAAAACAGCCAGAGGTTTAATACTGTGATTAATAAGTAGACTACATTTCTAAACAAATATAAAGTTCCACTTTAAACCCAACAAGCAGAAGCACTTTGTTGTGAAATCAAACAAATGCTATTGATTTAGCCTAGTTCACACATCCTATGCTAGCTATATCAGCTCACAGCTTTACTGGACCATTTAACTGTACTTGTGTCCCTGTTACATATTTATTTAGATACATGTTGCTAGAGTATAGTAAGTAATAAGACTATAATAATAATTATATGTATCATAATGATTGTCCTATTATGTTTCTTTTTTTATTTCCTGTCTGCTAACAACTGACCAATCTTTAGCTTAGAGCTCCAAACTAGCAACACTTATATTTTTAAACATTATATTTGGTTTCGTACAATGTCATAGAGATATGTTAACATGTTTTAAAAGTCTGGTTTAAGCCAATAGATTAGTTTGCTTTAACGCCACATAATACCACTATCACACTACCAGTGACCTCATACAGCAATGCTACACTAGGCGTTAAACATTAACCTAATAATTTAATCTCATACTCACCAACTATATAGATGGAGTTCTTGAATGTAACAGCACAAGTACATTTGGTTTCAATAGGAATGGAGGCCCGCAGTTCCCAGCTGTCTGTCCCAGGTTCCCAGCACTGAACCAAATCACTTGCCATCCTTCCATTGGGCCCGCCGCCAATCACATAGATCCATCTGTCAAAAGTTGCAGCAGCGAACGAGCTGACACCTTCTCTGAGAGGTGTCACCTGTGACAGGTACGGAGAGTTAAGTGTGAGAATTCGTAAAGGAGTAGACGCTCTACAGAAGAAGTAGGAAGAAAAAATTGTAACAAAATACAAAATATACATGCAAATATATTATATAACATTATGAATATACAGTATAAATATGTTATGGAACTCCTGTATAAATATATATATATAAAAAATATAAGAAAACCTCTATAACACACTAAAATGCAACCTGGGAATAAACTTTCGTTATGTTCTAACCAAACATAATGACAATAAAGACTATTCTATTCTATTCTAAATGAAATTTAAAACCTGTTACATCAGGTTATCAAATATTGCTCTTGTGTTCATACCTGTGTCCAGCGATTGTGAAACGGGTCATAGGCTTCTACACTTGCAAGTCTTTGAGTTCCATCGAACCCGCCCAGTGCGTACACCCTTCCCCCATGAACAACCATTTTGTGCCTCCATCGTGGGGTTAAAAGGTGCTCAATTTGGATCCACTTGTCCAGAGCGCCATTGTATTTCCAAACATCCTGTTGTGTATCTTTGCCACCTACAACAAGAGAATTAATTAGTAATTGATACATTTACTTACATGACATACTCTGATTTAATCTATCATCCCTTGTTGAAGGTACAGTATATGTACAGAAGCAGGTAGATTATTTATAATTGTAAATCTCAACTTTCTCAGTGCATGTGTTGCCCTTTGGGTTAAAATTAACCACAACTGAGAATTCAGTTTCAGAATAGTGATAATTAAAAATGGTTAGATGTGTGAAACTGTATTTTTCACCCGATATGTAGAGCTCATTGCGATAAGTAATGCAGGCGAACTCCACCCATTTTCTGTTTTGGGACTCATTCTCCATCTCTGTGAATGGAAGCCTGGCAACCTCAAGCCTGCTGCGTCTAAGGGGATCCAAACAGGTGACGGTGGAAATGAAGCGCTCATCTTTGGTGCAGCCTCCAATTATAAGGAAGACCTCTGACAGAAAGTGCAGCAGACGGGGCTTGGTTCGTTCAGAGACAACCTACAAAAATATATTGTGAAAATGTACTTTTTTTAATACAGTTTGATACAAAAAACAACATTCATTCATATTGAAAATGTTTACTGATGACATTATTCTGAGACTTCCCCTGTGTAGTCACTCACCTCCCTGCCTGAAAGGTGATAGCTGCGGACCTCTTGCATCAACGGAAAGACCTGACTGCAGTGTCTTATCAATTCGTCTGACTCCACTTTTTCAACAAAGTAGGCTGGATCCAGTAATGGCAGCCTCACATGTGCAAGTAACTTGGGCAGTAGAGGATAGCGTTCATCCTGACGGGCTCTCACCCAGAGCATTAGTGCTTCAAAAACACTCTCCTCACTCTTCATATCAAGGTTGTCCCTCTGCAGGACAATCTCCATGGAGCCTGCTGGCAGCTCCAGGAAGTCTTGTAGCTGGACCACTTGGTTGAAGTTAGAAGTGATGTAGTCTTCGGCTAGGGTCTTCAGAGGTGACAAGGCGTGACTTTCAGCTAGATTCAGGATCCCAATACAGTTATCTAGGTCCAGAGATTTTCCCAGAAATGCGATGCATGCGTCCACAACACGCAGAAACTGAGAGGAAGGGAAATTATTTTTTAAATAAAGTAGTATATTAAGGTGAAAATAATAAAAAAATTGAATTGACATGATGTAATTTTAACTAATGCGCTTTATACATCTAAATCTACATATTGCATATTCAATTTTTTCCTCTCCCACCACCTCATGCCTGACTTGTTTTGTATGACAGCTGTGAAGTTAAATTAAGGGTGTTATGCTCAAAACAGTGCCTAAGTGTAAACAACTGGCAACTTTCACTTCTCTCTCAGTGCCTCACATTTCTGAGTCACCAAGTTGTTTGTTTAACTGAACAGAGGAAACGTCAATGAGTGGTGTGAAACCCAGGCCCAGTGTAACTGCAGTGCAGCTGCAGCAAAAGTTAATCTGTGATTTAACAACATTTCCTGTTGCTCTGGATGTTAAATGACATAATTGAATATGGTGATATTTACTTTCCCAATAGTTTGGAGGAGAAACATGATCATGATCATTTTGTAATCATCTAATTTGGAACCCACCTGGATTTGATGTCTGGTTAAATATATATATATATATATATACACACATATATGTGTGTGTGAAATTGTGTGAAATTTACCTGAAAATGACAGGCACCGTCTAATATCCTCTGGACATTTGCATGTGTCAGATGGATTCTGCTGGTGTAGGTATACTCCAAAAGAAAGCTCATGGTCTCTCTGTCCACCCCTTTAATTTGGACGTGTTCCTCATAACTCTCCTTTAGACCACTGCAAAACATGGCCCTGTACAGTACATTACACATTATACGTTGCATTAAATGATATTTAATAATTATTTTCTTCTTTTCTATACTTCTCACTCTATGACCTACCATGACTATAACTGCACTTTTTCTATTTATTATTCATTATTATTTATAAAAAGTCTGGATGACTTGATGGCTGATTGGCTGACTCACATTATAAGTTGCTTTGGATAAAAGCATCTGCTAAATGTACTGTAATGTAATGTAATAAACATAGAAATCCATCCTATTACAATAACAAACCACAGTGAAGTATTGTTTTTACCTGAAGTAGTGACTGGCAGCAGCAAGTATGGCTCGATGGCAGGGGAAGTCGTGTCCTTCTACATTAAGTGTTATGTCAGTCAGATCTTGGTTCACTCTCAGACTCTCCAACCCTCTCTGCAGCTCAACAGGTAATCCTCCATCTTTCCAGCATTTCTCATCCTCTTCAGTCAAGTCTTCTTTATCCTCTTCTGGCTTGATATTGTCTCCGGGAAAAGGCAAAAAATGGGTTGTGCTCTCCAGCGAGTCACTCATCTTTTTTGACATTCTTCAGATACTGTCTTCCTCCAGAAAAACAGTCAGTGTGTTGTCATGAGTTGCACCTGCAACGGTGTGAGAAAAGAGCATAATCCCCCGTGGTTTCAGTTTGCAAATTGTTGAGCTGAAATGTGGATTTGTTTTTTCCTGTCCTCTTCATACTTCCTATTCCTGTTCTGTGAGAACCATGCGTACGAAGCAGAGCTTGCGTTTAAAAACTTCCCCTTCATGTCTATTTTGAAGTTCCCCAAAATTACCCAGAAGTCCCTGCACTCCAAACCTATCACACATAGGCCGGCTTTTTTTCAACTGCTTTCTTACTTTCTTTTTTCTTTTACACCCTGTTTTTCTATCTACAGGCTGCTACCGTTGTTGGACTGTCACCACTTTTCTAATTTGGCAGTTTAATGACTAATGATTTAATGATTTGACAGACAGTCATGAAAAACAGCTGCTTTAGTAAAAGATGTCAACTTTGGTTTTTCCTTCATTTTAACTACTGAATTTTCTTCTCTTTGATTTAAGGGTGTTTAAGATTGATGCAGAAAAAAAATGTATCAGTCCTTCATTATAGTCTAAATTACTCCAAATTACAGGTTTTTACAGTGTTGAACTGGTACTAATAAAAGTGGTGCCAAATGCCTATTTACCGCTGAGACTTGCCTTCTCCTTGGTGCCTATCCCCTGATTGTAACCTCTACATTTTATCACTTTTATTTCAAAACACTTAAAGTCACCCTTAAACTGACAAGAATATACTGTTTAAAATCTGTATAAACCTGGGGCTCTCCAACAGATGGACGATGAGTGATATCAAAGTTTAAATTAAGTTGTTGATTCGAGATGAGTTTTGAAAATGGAAACTCTCTGGTGACATGGAGCAGCTGGCATCCATGATGTTGCATTACTGTCTTGTTTACTTCAAACTCTCTCATGGATTCATCCTTTATCGTGACAAGCTGAACTGACTTTTGAGGCCCATTCTGACAGGAACAAGCACAAGTGCAAAAAGATCAAATCTTTTTCAAACACAGAAACACAACTTAGTGGGTTTTTTTAACTAATTACTTTTTGTGATGACAAGTTTACCTGAGTGAAAGGGACCCACCCATTATATGTTACACACTTAACGGTTGTGTAACTGCCACAAAACGAAAAAGCAAAGTGTGTATGACCAGCATTAGCTTAGCTTAGCTGGGCCCTGGAAGAGAATGTCACCTCTTGGAAAAAATATTAATAAAAAATGAATTTGTGAGCCAGAAACATTGATCATTTTGAATACTGGGTGTCATGTAACTGTTACTCCGTTTAAAAAAAAAAAAAGTTAGTGTATGTCGGGGAACTCATTGAAAAGTAAGATAAAATAAGATAAAAAAAAATGTAATACCGTGATGTAATAATGTTTAAATCAACAAAGGGAATTACTTTTGTTAATGTTTTAAATTTTATTTAATTTCTACCTCATTCAAGTTGTTTGACATTATTTTTGACTATGAAACCAGGAAGGACTTATATATAAGGAGTTCTCGATGAGGACACGTGATTTAGTTTGTCTGATCATCAGAAAAGGGTGAATATATTCGAAGAAATTCTTTCTATTCTACACAATATTATGTCTTACAAGTACGAAACGTACATTCCCCAGGACTCGCTCTCTCAGAGTAAGATCTTAAAGACCGAGAAAAAGCGGAGATAAATCACTGATTGTTTTTATACTTACCACCATGGGGCGCTGTTGCCTCATTGATCTGCCGCCCAATTTTCTACACAATCTATGTGAGTCACAGTGGTTACCTGTTTCCTACGTTGGTAAATAGGTCACAGTTTGACCCTGGCTGTTTCCTAGCAACGTTGCAAAGTTAGACTCGTGAATTCCAAACAATTGTTTAGGTTAGTGAGTCACTGAAAGCCGCTGATATCACAGAGGCAGGAACGTGATGGGTTAAAAGCAGAGGCTCAGTTTTGTTGTATCCACTTGTTACAATAACAATAAAGACCATAAAATAAAAAAATAGGTTTGTGCCTTACATTATTTATTTATTTATTTGAATTATTTATATAATGCATGTACATTTAGCATTTATTTCATTGTTGACTTCAGGTGGTTCCAGTTCATACCATAAATAAATTAAAAAAAGTTTTTTTTTTTTTTTTAAATGAAAAAATTGATGCATTTACTGTGTTTTAAAAAATGGGAGAGAATTATTGTCATTGATGCCAGCACAACACCACACGCAATGACATTTGTCCTCTGCTTTAAACTTATTACCTAAATGAGCACTGGGCATCTCAAGCTGAGAATGGATTCTAACCTGCAACCTTCTGGAGTCAAGTCCACTTCCTTTACCAGGGTTTGAACCAAGTCCCACACCTAAACCACTCGGCCATTGAATCTGTTGATATTGCTGAATTATATAATATTGTCTTACTATGTCAGCCCTAAATGGACAATTTGATTGCACAGATGTGAGTCTGTGCCGTATCCTATATCTATATATAATCTTTGCCATATTATCCCAAGCCATCTGCAGACACAGGTGTGCATATTGAGGTATACAACACGTGCAATAGAAATAGCAGTACAGATTTACAGAGTGACAGCATGTTGAAACTGTAGCCTACAGTGTGCAAGACACATTTCAGACTTCCTCTTTGTGCAAGGATGAAAAACAATAAGGCTGCGCTGTGATGATGCACACATCTTCACACAGAGACACTGAGGGCAGGTTTAATGTGTTACTGCTGAAGAACAGTCAAGATGAGCTGGCGTCTGCCTTCATTTAAGGCCAGAAGTTTCCTTGTGTGTTTGGCTTTACTTTTGCAAACTGGTAAGTAGTTTATGAAATTCCTAAAAAGTAAACAAATATATGTCAGTATATTTACTATATGGTACATACTATATGGTAGTGGTTAAGGAAGCAGACTTTGGTGCAGAAGGTTTCTGGTTCGAGTCTACCAGCTGCCAACTTACTGTACCGCTGAGGTGCTCTGGGCATGGCACCGTCCTCACACACTGCTCCCCAGGTGCTTAAAGCTGCCCACTGTTCACTTTGGTGAAGGGTCAAAAATAGAGGTGACATTTGGTTGTGTGCAATGTCACAATGACAAGTACTTTACTTTCTTTCTTCTTTTTCTTCTATATATATAAATATATGTACATATATATGCATTTTGGGGTAAATTCTACTTTAATGTGTTGCTTATAAATGCTTATGGTTACAAAAATAGTTACAATATGCTGTTTTAACAAAATGGTACCTTATGTCTTAAAATGAGCGACCTACAGTACACTGTGTGCTTCACCTCACATCAAAAGTTTCTTCTTGCTTCTAACTAACTGGTGGAAAAGTTACTCAATTTTAACTAAAACCAGGAAAGGCAGTGGTTGCACTGTGTTGTTTTCCATAAGAACTAAGTGATCAGCTAGTTATCAGCCTATACTAAATACCTTAATTTTATTAAGGAACTTAAGTATTCTGCTACCAATGAGTAACATATCCAATGACATTGTATTATATACCTCTGAAATATCAAAGAAACTTTTAATTTAGCCAAATACATATACAAGACTTCAAATTATTAAATGTGGTAACAGATGGTGGCCCAGAAAATTAATCAAAATAGCTAAGCAATATCTGTAAAGAAAGTAAAAATGTGATTTTTAAAAAGAAAGAGGGAGAGAGAAAAAAACAAACCTATAGGCCAAATGTAACGCCAAAAGTTAGCAGATTAGCTAATGTTAAAATATGCTTAAGAGCAGACCCCTTGGTATGACGTTCATAGCTGAATCATTTTTGTTCCATTCCACTGTGCTGTATAATGAAGGTGTTTTGTTTTTTTATTGGGATAAATAGATTACACTGAGAAAGTGACAGCTAAAGTTTCTTTTTTCTTTTTTCCTGCACCTGTAGGAGAAGCCAGAGTTCACACAGAAACACAGGCTGGACCTCTGTATCGTATCGTGGGCACTCCGCTCTCCATTTCGTGCGTTGTGAGCGGCTTCTCCAATGCTGACGCTCAGAAACAATTTGAATTCCGGATCACAAAACCTGCCAAACCCACGTTCCCTTTCAACATCATCAGTACTGGAGATGCAGGCTTTGCGTACGCCATGTATTCTCAACGTGTGTCAAACGGGGAAATCACTCTGAAACATGTGACCCCTAACTCTGTGCTCTTTGAGATTAAACGTCTGCAGAAAGACGACGAAGGAGAGTATGAATGTTACGTGATCAATCCCGAAGTAGTTTACGATGGGATTTACGAAGCTAAAACGACAGTTAAAGGTAATGAATTACGACACTGTCCCTTCCTGGACAATTTATCGTTGTAACTTCAATTCTGTTAAATGTCTCTTTCCTTACAGTGATTGACAACTCTTTAAGTGTTTCCTCACCTGTCTCCTCATCCCTGAGCTACACTGAGGGGGATGATCTCACCTTAACATGCCAGGCTTCAAGCAACACCATCCAGCACACCCATCTGTCCTTTGCCTGGTACCTCCGAAAAGATGCTGAGGAAAACACTCAGCCCATAATCTCTCTGAACAGAGATTTCACACTGAGCCCTGGCCAGGGATTTGAAGGGCGGTACCAGGCCGGTAACATAAGGTTGGATAAAATTGGAGAGGCCACGTATAGGTTAACAATGGCACAGCTGGAGCTGTCAGACCAAGGCAGGCTCTACTGCCAAGCTCAGGAATGGATCCAAGATCCTGATGGCTCCTGGTTCACAATCACACAGAAGGAAGCAGCAGAAATCACAGTAGACGTCAAAGCCCGAGGTGAGAAGTAGCTCTGGTTTAATCGTTGGACTAAAGAACACAATCCAAGGGGTTTAACAACTTGAAAACATGTGGATAATTTTACATAGTCTAAAAAAATATTATTTACCTCTAAAATGTTTTTTTTTTATTCACAATTGCTGAATAACTGATACTATAGCAAGGGGAGATTTGAGATGCTTGATAGTCCAAGATCTCCAATGCAAACTTGAACCTGGTCTGATTTAGTCAACATAAATAAAACATTTTTTTTAATTAGGAAAAAAAAAAGAAAATTATAAGATTTACAGATTTAGAAAAGGATTTTCTCTATCAAGCCGAAAGGTTTATGTTAGCCTCTGTTAGCCATCTCCAGCTAAACAGTTCGCTTAAAAGGACGTGAGTCTGTGCAAGTCTGAAAATGGTTCTCACTCTGCTTGTTCTTTGCTTTGAGTAGAGGTGATACGAGACACATCTTCCCTCGTGGTGAGAATCTCAGCACAGCAGACGACTCTGCAGGAGGGGCAAGAACTGTCGCTGTCCTGCTACGTAGATTCCCACAAACTAGAGGAAAGATTTCTCACTGTAGCCTGGTTCCGGGATGGTGTTGAGCTGGCACATATCGGACCTACAGGCGTTCTGTCTGTTGGGCCTGAATACAGTGGCAGAGAGAAAGAAGGAGAGCTCAGGGCGGCGAGGATTGAGGGCAGACATTACCGTCTCATATTGCAGCCTGTCAGAACTGAGGACAAAGGAGAATATATTTGTCAGGCATGGCCTGAGGAGAGAGGCCTCGATGGCGCTTTCAGGAAAGGAAATGTTCAAAAATCACAAATCTCCCTGCTGGTCAGCATCTCAGCCACAGGTCAGTCAGCAGATTAGCCCACAGTGATCAAGTCACACACATGACAGGAGTGACCCTGGGGTTTTGGCCTCGGTTAGTGTTTAATACGCCGTGTGTTCTCCTTGTTTCACGACAGAAAGCAGTTTCTCAGTCGAAATGCAACCGACAGTCAGTGTCAAAGAAGGTGACAGGCTGACACTCGGCTGTAAAGTGAAGGGGGTCAAAGGTCGGCTCTCTGTCACCTGGCAGTACCAGCCTACGTCCACGGCCGCAGCTGTGTTCAGGAACATCATCAGTGTGAATCAGGAGGGAGTCGCTGAGACGGGGAGTGAGTTCATGACTCACAAAGTGAGTGTCCAGCGTCCAGCAGCGGACACATTTGTTCTGGAGCTGGATGAAGTCAAACCCACTGACTCGGGTGTCTACCACTGTGCTGTGTCTGAATGGAAGAACAACATCAAAACCAGCAGTCAGTCACAGAATAGCACTGTGCTCGTGGCTCCAGTGGGTAAGACATGACTGCGCCTCCATTTTATTCAAGACACACATTTCTGTCTAATCTGTGACAGAACAAGTCGACATCTAAGATCGTAACTGGGTAAACATATCTGATCTGTTTTGTTCAATGACAAAACACTATTTCTTTCTCATCTTTTACTTTTTAGAGACATTTGTGAAAGTTTTCCTGATAAGTCGCAAGACCAGAGTGACTGTTGGAGAATATGTGGAGTTGTTGTGCCGAGTCCGAGGGCCAAACGTGCCTGTCACACTGACTTGGAGTCTGCAGAGAGATGCTTCCAGTGTAGATAACATCCTGACCATTTACTCTGATGGTAGCATCAGCTGGTCTGAAGATCAGCAGGGCTACCAGCTTAAGGTAGAAAACAAAGTGAACGAGGTGGCCTACTATCTTCTCATCAATAGTGCCAGTCACAGGGAGGCTGGAAACTACCAGTGCAGAGCGTCTGCCTTTCTTGAAAATGTGTACAAGAAGCTTCCTCCTTCCAACCCAGTGGCTGTGATGGTGCAGAACCCAGGTCTCATTTGAATTCATACTGCCATTTTTGGATATATTTTTTTTTCATTTACCTCAGTAAATGACTTAACTTCAATCTCTTTCTCCTAGTGAGCAAACTTGTCCTCACGTCCTCCCGCACAGTGACCAAAGACATCAACAGTGATGTAGAAATCAATTGCTCGGTGGGGTCAGCGTCTTCCACATCCTCCCACTACGCTGTGACCTGGCTGCACCAGCACCAAAGTGAAAATAGGACCATTGTAAGTTCAGATCGGGATGCCTTCATGACATTTGGGTCCAAAGTCGAGCTGGGCAGCAGACAAAGGATCAGCATGAGGCGCACCGAGGGCCCCAGTTTTAAACTGACCATTCGTCAGGCTCAGATCTCAGACAATGGCTTCTACGTATGTGAGGTGGTGGAGTGGCTACAGGATCCCCGGGGTAACTGGTATCAACTCCCACCAGTGTCCCAGGCCACAAAGCTTAAACTCAATGAGCCAGGTAAGATTTGCAGTATTGTGAAATCTCAAGGTTACAACAGCATTGAGAATAGTTGTTGTACCAACAACTAACATGTTTAAACCAGTAGATTTATGCGTTAATCATGATTATTTGTGTGATAAAATAATTTTCCTAAAAATGACAAATTTTTTTTGACTGATCCAATTGACAGGATTAAACAACAAAAAAAGTTTTCCTGCAGTGTGCTCAAATAACCACATGTGGATCAGAGCAATAATAAGTGTATGGATGGTGGAGTTATTGGATAGACAGTGCGAGTAATTCTGCAAAAGTCTTAAAATCCATTAAACATTTTTGATCTGATTAATTAAGAAATTAACACAGTCATTAATTGTGACATCCCCTAAAAATATATAGTCTGTAAATCCTTTCTCAGCTTTTTGTCGTGTCTTTTCCCTCCAGCTAATGATCTTAAAGTCCGTATAAAAGAGCAGAAGCTGACCGTGACAGAGGGACAGGAAGTAGAACTCCAGTGTGACGTCGTCTCAGGTTCGTTCACTCCTTCCTTCTTCTACAAAATCGCTTGGCTCTACTCTGGACACAGTGACCTGTCCATGATAGTGGAGCTGGATCACACTGGGCTTCTGAGGTATGCAGAGAACAAAGACCTGGTTGGCCTCCAGGGGCGCCTCGGCCTCCGCAGACCCAGTCAGAGCAGCTTCACCCTCAGGATTCAGAGAGCACATGAGGAGGACAGCGGGTCTTACTGGTGTCAGGTCGATCAATATCAAATGAATCACCAAGGTCAATGGCAGCAAAAGGCCTCAGACACGGCCGGTCCCATCAGAGTGGCTGTAAATGTAGCAGGTAGGATGACAGTACGTGGAACACACACTTCATAATTTTTCTTCAACAGAAAAATGACGACGACAAAAAAAAAAAAAAAAAAAGGAAAAAAAATCCCTCACTTTCCCTTTGTGGGGAAAATTAAAATCCACCCTTTTGTTAGAAAAATGACGACGACAAAAAAAACAAAAAAAAAACAGTGATAGACATGCCTTCACTTCCTCTGTGTGTGAAAATTACAATGCACACGTTGTGTTTCATGTGCTGTGGGTTTGTGGGGTTTCAATTCTCTGCTTTTGCAACTGCCAGCAAGAAACCAACATTTAGCTTTAAACAGAGAGGCACGGAGGCTAAACCGGGGCATTTCAAAGACCACTAACCCCCACCCTCCCCCCCAAAAAATCTTAATTCACCATTGAAAAAGACACATTAACTATGAGTTAACTTACAAATCTCATAACCATTCTTTACAACACAGGTTAGTAACAAAAGAGCTGCATTAGCTCTGCCACCCACATGTTTTAGATCTGCCTTTAAAATTGAACATTTGACACCAATTTTATCCAAATGACAGACAACAGTTGTGTGCAGTTAATGGATTTCAATTTGGAACAGACATGTTGAGAGGCTCAAATTACAGACTAGTCAAAGATTCACCATTTACAAGACAATAACATGAATGATATTTTGTATACTTAAATAATTACACGTACATATTTATTTAGCTTTAATGTTGGAAAAACACCCAAAATAAGAAGAATGTAAAGATTCTTCTTATTTTCCCTTGGTTTTAAAAGTCTATCAGCCTCAATGGACCTTACTATCATACATTACTATCACTGTAGTCATTGTTACTGATTGTTAAATTATGGTCCTGTAATTTGAAGAAATGTATTGAATATATGATTTAACAAATTGATGTAGGGCACTCGGCTGCCCCCTTTGGTGTGAGACGGTATTGTTCATTTTCAACTTTTGTTGAATTTATTAATTTGTTCCGTCACAGAAACAAACCTGTCTCTTCTTAAACACGACTTGGAGCAAAATGTGACCAGATCTGAGAACTTCATTATCCCTTGTCACGTCACTCAACAGTCCAGCAGGGAATCAGAGTTCAAGGTCACATGGTTTTGGCAGAAGGACACAGAAACTAAAAAACGTCCAATATTCGTGGCTTACCCCAATGCCACGCTACACGACATGATGGGCAACAGCAATGAGCTGAGATTTGGCCACCCGCTACCCAATCAGTACAGCCTCACAGTCACAAAGCCAGTCCCTGAGAATAATGGCCTGTATTCCTGTGAGGTGGAGGAGTGGCTTCCGTCTCTGTCTCATGGGTGGAGGAAGACTGCAGTAGAAACTTCAGGATATCTGACTGTTACCGTTTGGGCAGAAGGTACGGTCCAGTGTGTTTGTAAAACACCATGTGAAAAAATGGTGCCTATACAAGGATAAAATGTATCATCTGTTTTACTTTCTTGTAGAAGAACCTGTCCCTGAGCCCCTGTGTCAGTCAGGCCACTGGATCGGGATTTTGGTAGCGTTTGCCATCTGCTCACTGTTGGTGATATTGATTCTGGTGATAAAGATATTTCACTCCAAGGCCTCGGGCGGAAAACAGTCAGGCCAGTCGCTGTGGGCGGAGGAACACCCTCTGAAAACCAAACCCAGTGCAGACGACTAATTCTTGTAAGACGGAGGCGGAGGGGAGAGCGAAGAGTGGAGGAACAGCAGATTTCAATGTTTAGTAATATTTTCAAACATCTCACTGTGTAGTTTTTGTTCATTTGTCACTTCACATGGTAATTATTGTTTCACCGGATCTGTAGGTTATGTGTTCCTCAAACATTTTCAAATCACTGAGATCATACAGTACAAATCCCATCTCCAGAAAACTAAGATCACTCAAAATATTATTATTATTCCCCTTCCCTTTACATGAAAGGATTAGAAAAGAAAAAAAAGGCGTATCAGCTCGTCTTACCAAATCTCATCATTTACAGAGATCCTGTGGATTAAACACGATTAATCTTCATTAATTAATCCTTTAATGGTGATTAATTGTGGTTAATGTCTTCATAATTATTCGTGATTAACCAACTTTTAAAATGATCTTTTACTGTTTTCTTTTGTTGCGCAATGAATTGCAACAGCAGCCTTGATAAGTTTATTTTCCTGTGAACTTTAGTCATTGTCAGTGACACGCTGAACTATACAATTCTGTAGTTAGATAGACAGAAATGGCTAAAGTAGGAAGTGGACTTTTGCAAAGTTGCGGTTGATGAGTGTCTGTAGACAGTGTGGTCTGCAGTACCGCTGACGTGAGAACATCAAACAGACACAGTGACGCACAACAGAGGAAGTAGATCTGATACTACACACAGTTCTCTCAGCCGTGACACCAGGTTTGAGAATTGAGATTTGTTTTTCTATAGATTTTTAGGTCCCAGGGCTTGGAGGAATCAGGTAATAATAATAATAATAATAATAATATTAATAATAATAATAATAATAATAATAATAATAATAAAGAATATTTACTCGATTTATTATCTTATTTATGGAGGTATTATCTGTTTATAGGGTTAGTATTTACATATATGTATACACATATATAACTATATATGTGCATAAATATATATATATATATATAGCTATATATGTGCATAAATATGTATATATATATATGGTAAGTATGTGTTTTGTATGCACTTGTTTCGGTTTGTTTGTTTGTTAAACCTCATTGTTATTTCTGGTTAAATAAATGAACTTTAAATATCACCAGTTTTGTAGGTCAATGTGCTTAGTCTGATGTTTGCAATGTGACATGGGTGAGTATTGCACACAGTACGTTTGCCTATTTCTATAAATAGTCAAACTGTATCAGGCTAATGCTCTGTTTCTCCGAGGTTGTAGCTGATAAAGAGTATTTCTGATTTGCTAAATCAGCGCTAACCCAGTTAGCTGTGTCTCTTTCTGCTTACAGACAAGACTCTGGCATAAATGAACAAATACTGTACAAAATGTTTGCAGGGGTGGTGTGTCTCACATAGTGAGCTTTGCATCTCAATTGTGTGATTCTCCGTGCCATGATGTCGCAGGAGAAGGACGTTTCTGCAGGTAGACCTGTCAGGCATCGATTTGGACTGAGAGACAAGGATGACACATTTAGGCAGCACCAAAATCAGTGGGCAAACATATACTGTAGGCAAACATATTGGGGTTGGACTGTGTCTGTCTTTTATACTGTGTCACTAAGACTAAGACTCTGACTCAGGCTATTGAAACTCAAGACTTCAGTATCACAGGTTTACTTGAGAGGAGGTCTTACTCTCAGGTCTGTCTGTCTCTACCAGGTTCATTAGTTCCATCACTCTCACCTGTGTCCTGTGATTCTCTGTTAATCAGTCTCACTCATCTCACCTGCTGCCCTGGGTATAAGATACACCTCTGTCCTTCACTCTCTTTTTGTCAGCTCCTTGTTGTTCCTGTTGTAGTTGTTGGTGGTGTTTTCTGTTCTGTATGAATGACAAAATCTCAGGGACATTTTCTGCTGAGTAATTTCCTACACTGCTGTACTTCCACCTTCCATCCCTGCATGCATTCTACATGCAGTAGAGAAAGTAGAGTAGATCCTTGCCTGCACAGAGATATTTCCCATGATTTCTCCTCAGAATATAAATATTTTTAGACGGAAGAAACTTCATTTTTACATCCATAGGCTCCAGATCCATCCTTTCCTACAAAAATCACATATGTCACTAGATGTATTGAAATTTAAGAGGGATTTCCAAACCACTGATTTTATTTCTAGGAGGAAGGCTGTAAGACCCCAATCCTGATCTTTACACACGGTTTCATCCACTCTTCCAAAAACAACACACCCGGTGTCACCGCCTGTAAACATGCTGTAAAGGCTGCATTGTACTCTCTTTTGTTTGTGTTCATTTTTGGTTCTTGCTTCACTGCATTGGCTGCCTTTCAGAGAAGGAATAATCCAGCTCAACAAAATTGGATACTGGAGAGTAATCAAAACTAAAGTGTAAAAGACTTTTTCTCTCTCTTTTTCCCACTTGCTCTCTCCTCCGCCTCTCCATTTATTCCCCATCAGCCATATCAATGTTTAAGAGCCCGTCTGTGTGAGAGGCAAGAATTGAAAGCAATTTTTGCTCTTACTTTTGTGTAAATGGGTTTTGACACCAGAATTCTCTGACGGAGAGAAAGACGTGTCCTGTACAACTTACGATAAAACTGACAGTGATTTTCTTAAGCCATGCCAGAAAACTGAGAGTTGAGTGTCAAACATTCAAACAGGCTGTTGTTCCCTCAGGCCCATGGTGGTACAGTAGCACCACCTCATGGTCTAAAATTATATCAGCCCTCAAAAGGCAACAGCTATTTAATTGCGGCTGTCAATCACTATTGAACGTTTAATGAAGGCAGAACAGAACACTGTGACACTGTATTCACATCGGTGGGTTCTTCACCCTGACACTGTGCTTTTACGGTTTTCACAGTACGACAGAACACTGTGACACTGAGTCTTTGCCACAAAGAGCTTGAGTAGTACAACCTCAAATACTCTGACAAGGTGTACCTAATGATGTCATTATGTGGTACTGAACAACTTCATGACAGTGATGATGTTCAGGGTTGTCCCGGTACCAATTTTACAAACCGATACAAGGAAAGTGATTTCATTTGCACATTCACCCAAACCAAGTACTTTTTACAGAATACTTTTTACTATAGCTTGGGTTTTAATAAATATCCAGTTCACACTAAGGCGTTGTGAACACAGTTGGCACGGCCAGCTGATCGGAAAGTGCCAAAGTTTTGCACCAATAGTGCAGTTTAATTGAAATCTTCTGCTTTTCATGCCAAGTTTTGCACCAATAGCGCAGTTTAATTGAAATCTTCTGCTTTTCAGTAAAAGTCTCAACTAAACTGAGCAGCACCAATTCCATGTTACAATAAATAAATTTAGTCATAAAAAAATAATGACGTGCCGAGGTGAAATATTTCATCCACTTACTGTGTCATTAAACTGAGAAAAGAAATGAATGAATTCAGCGTTAGCGTAGTCCCTCCAAACAGGCATGGCTCACGTACGCACACCCCCTAGTGGCAGTTCGTGCACTGCAAAAGTTTGCACGCATCACACTTTGGGAATCCCTGTGTTAAAAGAAGCCCTATAATCTCACCACAAGGGACAGGCGGCCTATTTAAAATTTCAAAATACGAAAAAAAACTGTCCCTGTGTCACTCGGCGTCAACAGTACGGCCTTAATTATATTATTGTCCTGACGTGCATTCCAAATCTGTGGATGCTAATTTTGGAGAGTGATTCTTTTGACCCCTGGGAATACCGAACCAGAATACCATAAAGTTAATTGTTTCTGAATTTTAATGCATGTTCAGCCGTCGTCCGTGCGTCCTAGAGGACGTGTTACGGTCTCAGGAGACTAGATATGTCTAAATTTGTTCCTTTTTGTTCTCCTTGTTTTTCTGACCCGGTTATTTTGCGAGATTTAATAAATAAAATGTCGACCGCTAAAAAGATTTATGCCCAACCCTCACAGTCTGGTGGAGCAGCTCTCTTTTAACTTTACTGTAATTCCACTCCCTTGTGTTTCCATGGCAATGCCTGTCAGAGCAAACAAAGAATCATCACATTTGGGAGGGGAATCGATGCTGGTGTCTATGCAACAAGGATTAAAAGCAGAAAGGACAATCTAGCACGGAGGCGTCCACCCGGCAGTTCCATTACTCTGCTCTTTGCCTTAATCAAGTTTGAACATTACCTTATACTTCAATAAAGTCACACCATCAATTCCCACTTTATCAGTGGCACAGTACAGTTCCAGACGGTTGTTGTTTAAAGGTGGGTTGAATCCCTGTCAGCGGCTCATGTTTGAGTTCTGTTCCTGATCTGATCTGACATCAGATTGATGCCCGGCTCTAATGGACTATATTTACAGTAAGTCCTCACCCATTACTGTAAGGCTCTCACAGTTCTTACACCACATATAATGCTGCGGGTTATAGCAGATCATCAATCAGTATTGTCTGCACTGGATCAGGAGTTAAAACAGCAGCAGCTTTTATTGCTGTTTAAGTGTGTGAGATTTATTAGCTGCCAACTCGTCATTCAGGCCAACAATTAAAAACATGATTCCATGAAGGGGCCACACTGGATCACAGGATCCTTATATTGTGTGTCCTGTCCGTCTGCCTACTTTAAATACTGCAGCGCTGTTATCTTTGTTTACGCCTTTGACGTTTAAACGTGACTGCTGTTATCTTTGTTTGACGTTTACGCCTTTGACGTTTAAACGTGACCTTCTTAATTCTAACGTTCTGACTTCAATGGCAGAATAAAGAACGTATTTAATCTGTCACGGTGAATACTCTGTAACAGACTTCATGATAAAACCTGACACGACCAATAACCACAAGGGATATAATGACGCTGGCAGGAAGCGAGGCAGGAAGGATGAGACTGGGTGAGACCACACAGAAAAGAAAGAAGTTTGAAAAAAAAAAATCTTTTAGACATAATTGACACTTTGTTGTCATTCAAGTGAACCAGACAATGGAAACACTGAAAATAATTGCACAGAACAGAACATGGAGCATTCTCTCTTTATGGTCACAATAATCCAAGTTTCATGAACACAAAAACAACTTAAAGTTTCACAAATTACAAATAAAAAATAGAATTCATTACTAGAATTCAAAGGGTCCGAGCCATTCTTTGAAAACAGTTAATAGGCCAGGCTGGTAGATGACATGAGGAGAGAGGCACACTCCAAGTACCAGCTGCACAATTTTTGTGCAATACCTCTCCTGAAATCTGAAAGTCTCCTCTGAAGCTCTTCTTGACTCCTCTCCCCTCAGCCGCTCTCTTTGACTTTCTTTGTTTATACCCTCGACTCCTCTCTCCTCCCTCGCGGCTCCTTTTTGCCTTTGATATTCCCTGTTCTCACATGAAGAAGACACGGCCCTGACAGAATCGCCTTCTGTTCTCCTGCCCAAACCACAAGTTACACGGTTACCCCACCACCACCACCACCCTTCTTCTACTCCCCCATCTCTCTCTCTCTCTCTCTTTATGCCACCAACTCTCCCGTCTGTCTGCAACATCAGTCTGCAGCGTCTGTCAGCACTAGAGGGAGCTGTTGTTGGCCCCAAGGACAGGGACGTGTAAAAGCCCTCAGATGGCCCAGTGACTCAGTACTTCACAGTCTGTCATTGCAGTATCCAGAGAGTTATATATATATATTTATATATATATATGATTTTTTTTCCTTTTTGACTTTTTGAAAGTCGGTCTGTTGTTGTCAGAGTTGTGGAGAGTGATTGTATGTGTGTAGGTGCCAGGGAACAGAAAGGCAAAAGTGGCCTTTAAATGTACCAGCAGACATGCAGGTGAGGAAGCTCGTCAGCCTGACACCCCCTGGTGGATGTCTGTGTGATGGTGACACCACAGACTGCACGCTGTCACCTGGCACTGAGGGAAAATATGAGGAAACTGGAGAGAAAAAAAACTGCAGAAGGGAACAGAGCACAGGCTGGAGCTGCAGTGTCCTCGGGCAAACACACTTCCTTTTGCATTTACCTTGTTTCTGCAGTTTGTCAAAAACATGTGTGTACATACTAACATGCAAATGTGTGTACATAAATACACATTACCCTCTAAATCCAATTCCGAACCGTCTGCCTTCTCTCCATCTCTTGTTGGAGCTCCATTGTTTCCCCCAGAGATGGTGCAGGCTGCTGGAGTCCAAATTAAAAAACTGCTTAAATGGTGCAATATGAAGTAATAGCCAGTTCTCCTTCCTGTCAGGGGAGCTCTCAACAAACTCACAGCTCCCGTTTTATTTTTTCTTTCTCCTCTTCCACATCTGTAGTCTCACACAGTGGAACTGCACAGATGAACAACTGAGAGGTGCTGCTTTGATAACGTCACCTGGAAATACACAGAGTGCGGCGTACGTTTGTCATGTTCGTCATGTTTGTGAGCCGGCAGTTCGTTATGTGAATGTGCTGTTGCAGCTGCTGTGCAGATAGTCAGGCTTGGAGATCAGTGTCCTCATCAGTGTTGAAGACAGACAAGACAGACAAGACGGGGAAGGGACAATGTTAGATTTTTTGACAGCAGGATGGTACAAAATGGTGACCAACTATTAGGGCCACAAACTCACGACTTTTTTCCTCTTAAGTTAAGACTCTATGCTCCTTAACCTATGACTTTATTCTGCTGTACTGTATGACTTTAAGTAACCATTTAAAGTTCAAATTTACTTATTATTATTCACTGTTTAATTTTTGTAATTTTATTCAATTTATCCCTTGATGTGACCCTTAAACTTACAATTATTATTGTATTTTTTTTACCCTCAATGGTACTCCAGTACTCCCACAGAATGTATTCTACACTTATTTGGCTGCTTAATTAGGGGCATGTTGAATGGGAATCTGTAATAAAACAGGATCTACCCTGTGCTGGAAACACATTGATGCAACAACACCATGCATTTGCTGCAGATTTATTGACTAAAACCCCTTTAATTTCAGCACCATGTTCCACCACCTCCCACCGCTGCTCTATCTGAATGGCTGTGGAGGCCATGAAAGTATACTGTACAGTGAAGTCAATGTCATGATAAAGGAAGGGAGCGTGAGATGATTTAATGTCAGTGAAATCGTGTATTATCTCAGCAAATGCAGCCATTAGATGATGGGAAAAAATTGTAGAATTTAAGCCGTGCTCAGGTGGTAACTCAGGTGGTGTGACACACAATACGGTACACAAAGTCAGGCTCCAGAGATGGACTGGAGCTGCTACAAGTTAAGATCCACCTTGGACCTTTGACCTTTCTCTGTTTACCGTGGAAGAGGTTTTGAGACAAAAAACTCCCTAGGTTTGCATTTACATTCCCCATTATGATAAATAATGTAATCTCCAGCAGGTGATCAACTCCAGGTCTATGTGCCAGAGTGACTTAGTGCCGTGTGAGCGGCTGATTAAATATTCACATTAAAAAGCTTTAGAACGATTGTAGCTCATAAACCAGCTGTGATTGTGTGTACATATACCAGTCGTCAGTCTTTACCCTCCTATTCTGCACATTAGAATTTCATTATAAACCAGAGATGGATTTTTTTTTTTGATTTGGAATCAAATTTAACACAGTCTCCAGCACAGATAAAGCAATTACAAACACACAGTCAGGGCCAGCTTTACAGGACTGCAGGGGCTTCTGCTGTCTGCTGCGTTCCTGGGGCTGTGGATCCTCACAGCTCTTTCTACTCTTCATCATTCACCATTCATTCATGTCATTCATAAATTCTGCTAAATGAAAATCCTGGCATTCATGATGAAGCAATATTAGTGACACCACCAACGTGCCCACGTGAATAAGTCATGGTGTTTTGCAGATAAGGTGGCTGAAGTTACAAAAGCGTCTGTTTCCAACCTGCAGATGTTGAGTTGCCGGCGGCGATCAGAATCAAGCATCACCAAGGAAACAGAAGTGCTGTATAGCATGAAGACTGAGTTGTCAGCAAGAGCAGCTATTTTTTTTTATTTTTTTTAATTTGGTACAGTGACTTCTGGCTGCTGCTGTGGTCATAACCTGAGCGAGGAATTGTTAATAACAACAGTTAAGCTGGCTCAACTCT